GAAATGTTTTTTTTAATTTCTCTCTATCTTCAATGATGCTTGTGATGATCTGATTTGATACACTTGTATAACTTTCCAACGGGGTAACTGGGGTGAACTTCCATATGTGATCGATACATTTCCGTATTTTGACTTGTATCCATACGCGTAGTTTTAAATTTTTGAACACATGCCCACCTTCAGAGGTGGTCGAAGCATGCGATCATCCAGCCTCCTGGCCTTAAATATGATGGGTTTTAAATTTTGAACACATGCCCACCTTCAGAGGTAGTCGAAGCATGCGACCATCCAGCCTCCTGGCCTTAAACATGATGAGTTTTAAATTTTGAACACATGCCCACCTTCAGAGGTGGTCGAAGCATGCGACCATCCAGCCTCCTGGCCTTAAACATGATGGGTTTTAAGTTTTGAACGCATGCCCAGCTTCAGAGGTGGTCGAAGCATGCGACCATCCAGCCTCCTCGCCTTAAACATGATGGGTTTTAAATTTTGAACACATGCCCACCTTCAGAGGTGGTCGAAGCATGCGATCATCCAGCCTCCTGGCCTTAAACATGATGGGTTTTAAATTTTGAACACATGCCCACCTTCAGAGATGGTCGAAGCATGCGATCATCCAGCCTCCTGGCCTTAAACAAGATGGGTTTTAAACAAGGAAATAAATAGCTCGCTAAAGTTGCCGCTATTTGAGAAATAGCTTTTTTTGGCAGCGTGCCGCTATTTGTATTCATGTGCAATTTAGCCACTAAATCTCCGCTATAGCTCCGCTATAGCTACAGTGCCATAAACGTTTTAGCCCGCTATTTAAAACCTTGGTTTTAAATTTTGAACACATGCCCACCTTCAGAGGTGGTCGAAGCATACGACCATCCAGCCTCCAGGCCTTAAACATGATGGGTTTTAAATTTTGAACACATGCCCACCTTCAGATGTGGTCGAAGCATGCGACCATCCAGCCTCTTGGCCTTAAACACGATGGGTTTAAAATTTTGAACACATGCCCAGCTTCAGACGTGGTCGAAGCATGCGACCATCCAGCCTTCTGGCCTTAAACATGATGGGTTTCAAATTTTGATTGGGTTCCTCTTTCGTGCCCGCGTCACCATGCTCGTCTACTGAACTTGAGATTTTACCTTCGGTGTATTTGCCTCGTTGAGCTCATTGTTGGTCTTCAAGCCTTCGTGTTCATCCACCCAGCCCGAGGGCCTTAGTCATGGTGGGTTTGATCTTCACACTTGCCCACCCGCGAGGAATGATCCAAACAAGAGGTCACCCAGCCCGAGGGCGTGAGTAATCGACCAACCTGCCCACCCCAAGGGCTGTTCCAAACAAGCGACCACCCAGCCCGAGGGCCTTATTCATGGTGGGTTTGATCTTCACACTTTCCCACCCGCGAGAAATGTTCCAAATAAGAGGTCACCCAGCCCGAGGGCGTGAGTAATCGACCAACCTGCCACCCCAAGGAATGTTCCAAACAAGCGACCACCCAGCCCGAGGGCCTTAGTCATGGTGGGTTTGATCTTCACACTTGCCCACCCGCGAGGAATGTTCCAAACAGGA